TCCGAATACACTGCCGGAAATGACTCCTGTAAATACTTTCCCATAAAGCATTGCGGCCAACAGAAGACGCCGCACCTCTATGTATATATAGTGCGCCATCTCCTGGGAAATGCCGGAAATGCAGGAAAAATGAAACATTAACAAGGTTTATTATTATTTATTCAAATTCGGAGGGACGGATTAAAAGGTTTAAAGGGCCGCATATGGCCCCCGGGCCGTAGTTTGCCCATCCCTGTTTTAGACAATAAACAGTTTGGTGCATTGAGCTAAAAACGATTAAGTTCAACATTTGTGAATTTACACTTTGAATATTTCAAGATAACTGCAGGCACTGCTCTGTCTGAAGCTCTGTTAGATTTTAACTTCATCTTTAATCATAATCTGACCATGAACAACTGATTTAACTGGAACTACAATGCTGATTAATAAATCTGTCACACACAAAATTACAGTCACCTTTTTGTTGAAAATCAAACTTCCAAACAGAAAAATGAACACTCAGACTGACCACAGGTTCCAAAATATGTGTAAATCTGTAAATCCATTTAAAAATTATTTACCGTATTTTCCGGTCTATTAGACGTGCTTTTAAACCTCTAACTCAGGGATGGGCAAATGACGACCCGGGGGCCGTATGCGGCCCTTTAAACCTTTTAATCCGGCCCGCCGAACTTGAATTAATTAGAATAATAAACCTTGTTAATGTTTTATTTTTCCTGCATTTCCGGCGTTTCCCAGTAGATGGCGCACTATATATATATACGGCTTCTGTTGGCCGCAATGCTTTATGGGAAAGTATTGACAGGAGTCATTTCCGGCGGTGTATTCGGACCATGAATGAGGTAGAAGTGTTTAGGATATAATATTGCACTAATTGTTTTATATCCGTGTGCAAAAAAATAAAACACATGTGTAATTTAAAAATTCGTTGGGTAAGAAGAGTGGCACGTGTAGAAAAAACATATATTTGTATGATGTATTGGTATAAACAAAAGTGAACTGCTTACGTGTGTTGTATCAATTTAAGATCAGATCTGCGTGCTTCGGATATGCGCCTGTGCAGGGTGTGCGTATGGGAGATAAGTTGTTCCATCAGAATTTGAATTTTAACCGGAAGTACCTAGCCAGGCTAAAGGCTAATGTTGGATTATGCGCCATTGAGCTCAGCCCATTGACTTGAATGGTCGGCCATTTTGGAACCTGGGGGCTTGATAGGGCGCCATCTACTAGAAACACCGGAAATGCAAGAAAAATACAACATCATTAAGATTTATTGTTATAATTAATTCAAGATCTGCGGAGCGGTTTTTAAGGCCGCACATATGGAAGATAAGTTGTTCCATCAGAATTTGAATTTTAAACGGCTCTGAATTTGTCTTTGTGAATTATTTTACTCTGAAAAAGAGCATCTGAATTTTTTTTCCTTCTGTATTTGAAGCACTGAAATTTCAGTCTATAGTTTTTAATGTGTTTAAAATTTCAATTTTTTTAAATTAAAAATCATCTATAAAATATTGGATGTATTTTTTTTCAAACCCTCAAATACGACTGTTGGCATTGTAAAAAACGATGAAAAAAATGACCCAGCCAACATCCGGGATACTGAGGCATTTGCAATCGCTCTTGCAGAGTCGATCTAACTTCTAGCCAATCATGCAACGGTATAGTAGTCACGGGAACAACCACAAGTCCACGGACGGAAATGGCAGCCGGTGGCCGCTCTTCGGTAATTATGTTCATATTTTCTAACCTTTTTCGAAGCTAATACTTATAAAATCTTACAAATAACAATTGATTGACAACATTAATGTAAATGCTTGTACTCGCATTATTGGCGATTTGATAGAAACAACATTAATAGCGCTAGTTAATGCACTGTCATGCGCGCCCACCATAGACCACATGGCCCGCGCAAGTCAACCTGTTGTAAGGAAAATAACCACTAGGGGGCGATAGCCGCTACGGCTAATATGAAATACTGTCAACAAACATGGCAGCGCCCTTCTTCAACGATTTGATAGCATTTTATGTAGTGAAATAGAAAGAAAATACAGTGTTCTATGTCACTTATAGTAGGCTAATAAATATATTTGGTAATTTTACAGGATAGTCAGGCTGAAATAGTGCAGTCAGCAAGGCGTTTATTACATTTGCTGACTTCGTCTGAAAGACAATCAAGTGCAGCAATTCAAGCCTCAAGTCAAGATAACAGGGATTTGCTTCACCATTCATTTGTTGTGAGACAGCGTTCGATTTCAGCAGCAAAGACAGAGAATTTCTTGTTTCCTTTATGCATCAACAGATTACAGTGTACTTAATTATTCATGGGTTTCAAGATATGGCAACCATCCTTCATGGTTATAGAAATAAAGCTATTTAAATTAAAATATTATATCTTTTCAATAGAGAAAGGTCCTCACAAAGTCCTTCAAATCTGGAAGGAATTGTTTGTCTGAAACACATGATTACATATTTACCTTCATTATGCCCAATGTAAAAAGCTACAAATGTTTAAATAAGTGGTTGTTTTATGTCTACCAGGATCTCCTGAACCAAGTTTTGAGACGACTTCAGTCTCGCCTGGAGCTTATTCTGGAGCGTATTCCTTTGGATTTGGACTTTTTGGAGTTCACTTGCACCCAGGAGTTTGTTTTCTTGCATGCTCTGTCTAGTCAGGTACCCATATCTGCAGAAATATTAAATGCATTAACTGAATTGCACACTCTGGTGAATCATGAAAAGGAAAGAAACAGAGCACATGCTCGAGTAGTACAGTTTGAACAAGGACCAGCTGGGCGACAAAGAATGGTGGTGTCCTCAGACCACCTCCTACATCTACTTGAACTGAACTTGTCTGTGCCATCTATAGCCAAACTCATGGGAATCTCCAGGAGCACACTATACAGGCGTATGGGCGACTTTGGTTTCTCAGTGAGATCACAGTACTGCACCTTGACAGACGAAGAACTGGACCAATGTGTGAGAGAGGTAATATCCAGGCAGCCTCACTCTGGATATAGAATGGTGAAGGCTCTTCTGCAAGCCAGAGGACTGAGGGTGCAGTACGAGCGTGTGAGAGCCTCCATGCACCGTGTCGACACCAATGGAGTCATATCTCGAACACTTAACCTGGGCTGCATCAATCGCCGTACCTACTCTGTTCCAGGACCCCACTTCCTGATGCATATTGATACGAACCATAAGTTGATCCGGTATTCTTTTTACATTACAACATTATTAGTATACTGCTGCATTTGTTTTTTTAACATTCTTTATTTTATATCATAGGTATAATATTGTCATATTTGGAGGGATTGATGGGTTTTCCCGTAAGGTAAGCTTATTAGTCCAGAATTGCAACTTGTTTGAGAATCATATGCAGTTGTTGTGCTGCTCTAAACATAATTTCGTTGAGATTTAATATCACAATGACAATAAACCAATTAAATGATTGATAATAGTCATTTCAGCGTGGTGGTCAAATGCAGAGGACAAATTTCCCTATGGGGACAATAAAGTACCTTTTTTGTATTCTACAGATTATGTATCTGGGTGCATCCTCCAACAACCTTGCATCCACAGCTCTGGCTTTCTTCAACAGATCAGCTGACAAGTATGGTTTTCCTCAAAGGTACATGCTCCCATTCATAATACTGTTTCTAATTTTGACTTAATTGTTTAATTCAAAACTACTTGATCTGCTCTTTCAACATTTATGTGAATATTTGTCTATATTTTTTAGAGTTTCGTGGTGATCAGGGGGTGGAAAACATGGATATTGCCCATCTCATGTTCACAGCCCGTGGAACAGGAAGGAGCAGCTTTATTTCTGGGAAAAGTACACAACCAACGGTAAATTGGAAAACTAGAAGAGTAGGTGTAAACCTAGATCTTAATCAGAATTTATTATCTGTTCAGGCTTTAATGGTTCAGAAAAATAGTCATCTGCAAGTTTCTTTGCAAGTGTATTTCAGTAAAGTATTCTAATTTAACTATATCATTATTTGTCATTTATCACTGATTAATATCGGGGCAATTTATTGTTCAAGTAGCAAAAAATAATGGCATTTCTTATTATTGCAATACGAAGTACACAAAATAAGTTATATGTAATTATGTATGTATAATTCTACTTAAACAATTTATATACATTTTAAATTGACCATATTTTAAGTGTATGGTTTATTTTTCAGCATAGAAAGGCTGTGGAGAGACCTATGGGTGACTGTAACAAGCATCTATTACGATGTTCTCCACTACCTTGAAGAGGGCGGTTTTCTCAGCATTGGGAGTCTTGTACATCTCTTCTGTTGCCACTACGTGTTTCTGCCACGCCTACAGGAAGACCTGGACACCTTTCGATGTGGTTGGGATAACCACGCACTGAGAACTGAAGGCAACATGACTCCAAACCAGCTGTGGGTTCTGGGTCAAACACACCACTCTAATCCTGGACCATGTCATACAGAGGTTCGTCATGCTCTTTACATTTAAATTATTCAAATTTGAATGTCTATAAAGCTCATGTAGTATGTTCTATCTTTTGCTAGGATATGGACCTGCCCCATATTGAATGGGAAAACAGTGGGCTTCCTCATGATGAGCATGCAGGCATTGTGGTACCAGATATGTCCTCTCCTCTAACTGATGAACAACTGACAGCTTTAAAGGAGGCTGTTAACCCAATGGCAGCATCACAATCCTTTGGCTGTGATATTTATATGGCCGCTGTTCTTTACTGTGAGCATTTGCTATCTTTGTGAATGAATCTGTCATAAATAGCATTTAATTTTTTGTCAAAAATGTCATGTGTTGTGTGTTGACATGTTAAATGTTAAGTGTATTGTGTGTAAGTAAGTTTATTATTAAAAGTTGTCCACAACAATCATAAAAGGATCCAAACGAACTGTTCTTCTGAATTTTTGTTAGCACAAAACCAGTTCATAATGAACCTGTGACAGAACCAGAAACACAATTTGAGAGACTAAACCCTTGACTCAGCTTGTAATAAAATCTTGACTGAGCAACTCAAACCAGTTGCTTCCATGTGAACAGATGACAAAATATCTTTTCAACATTAACATTAGGAGAACATAACAATTCACACCAAACCAAATCCTGTGTGGCAAGTGGAGATAGAAACAAGCATGTCGCTCTGGAACGCAGCATTATCTTTGTAGTGACATGGGATGCGCAGGGTCTCGTAGCAGGTTGAAGCAGTAATATATCTTCCTGCTCCCACTTCTACAGACAGACTCGATGGCAAGACCTCCCAGCCAGTCCAGAATTTGACTAGGCTTTGCAGTTCAGCTGGTGTTACTACAGAAAAGAGGAAGTACATGACCTTGAAATATTTAATTAGAAATGATGAGATACTATATCCTGTTTACCATTGTAGCTTTTTCTTATAAAAAAGACCACTTGAGCAGCCTACCTGTAGTGATAAACTCCCGGAGATAGCCAGACACACGACATTTGGTGTCAACTGGGCAGTCATCGTCATCATCTGCCTGTGGCCATTTGAGTCGCTGCAGAAGAACCTGTGTTAAAAATGGCACATGAAAAAAATATGCAGCATTTCTACAAGACTAACATGATACTTTGACAATATATTATAAAAATGTATGCAACAAACTCACCTGAGGGCAGATAATCCCTGCTTCCTCTGTGGGGAGGAGCAAATCTACTGTGTCTGGTCTCTGGGTGAGCATGGTCCATATTGGTGTTTCTTTTAGTCCCCGGCGGAGTTGCTTAATCTGTCTTATTACTCGCCCAGTCACCTTCGAGAGAGAATGAGGGGAATGTACATGTGTTCATAGAATTTTTCAATAAATTCAAAAGTACTACTTGACCAGAAATACTTACAGCATGAATTAAAAGTTTTTCAAAAAGCCATTTTCGGTTGCCCTCAGTCAGGGGAGGAAGGTCCCAAGCAAAAGCCAAATCCTGTATCTCTACTTTATCCTTCTCAGACAGGTTTGACTCACCTTCCAACTGATTGAAGAGATGGTACCAGATCAGAACATAAACTTTAACTAAGCTGTATTCTTTAATCCATAACTTGGTTTCAGATGAAAACATTATCGAGTTCATCAAAAATAAACAATGGGTATGGTGAATAGTGAAAAGATGGAGTAACATACAAGCCTGATGGTGTCACGGATGTCCAAGTCAGGACAGTCCTCCAGGGTGACTGTACACGTTTCAGGAGTGCCTCCAAGGAGAACATGAACAATGGCAGGGCTGAGGCCAGGCAGACAAGGTCCTCCGTGGAGGAAGGAGTGACCCATCATCCTCCCCGCCATGAGGAAGAGGTCGCTTTCAACCAGAAAGTGTGAAGCTGATGGGACAAGATGACTTGGCTCCCCTTCAAAAAGTCGAGTAACACTGCAGTTTGCTATGGAAAACAACGATGGGACACAACAAATCAAAAGCTTTTATTAGTAGTCTCTGTTTCCATATCCATATTTCATATTCTATATCCATATGGGAATATGTGTGCATGGTGCCAAATGGATAAACTGGAACATACCAAAATGTATGTGAAAACCTGACTTGAGTTTTTCCATGCACGTGGAAAAGAAAAAGCGCGCAACACCATGTCCTACAGCTGTGTCCCCTATAACAAAAAATAAATAAATACTCAAACTCATTTCTAAGAACCTTTAACTTTTTAGGTTTTACCTTCAAGTCTGCATTTCAGTGGACAGGCCCATTCCACATTTTTTTGCTTATAAAAGGAGATGAGGGCCATGTCCTGCTCTGTAAGACTTTTTCTAATATCCATGCTGAGAATTAATGGGCTGTCCATTGCATGGTTTTGGAGAAAATGTTTTGCATATTGAGATATGGCCTCCCTTGGATCACTCAAAGATAACCAGTCTAGAAGGAAAGCATAAAACAATGCAATACCTGATTTCGATATAGTGTACATTTGATTTGATTATAAATGTACAACAATTACCAAATAAGACATTAAACACTCAAATGAAAAAGTATTCACAGCATGACAAAATTTGTGGTACTACCTACCCCCAGTAACAGTAGCAGATGATGTGGAGGTTCCAGCAATGGCTGCATGGTCCTCCTCATAGGTCACTTTGGCAGATGTCACTGTGGCAGATGTGACTGCAGGTGTCACTGGACTGAAAATAAGGCAACTAAACATCATCACATTCAATACAATAATGGATCAATTTACTAAAAAGATCATCAATACCTTTCTCCACATGTGGATGCATGTTCCTGTATCCAGTCAGTAGGAAACATTTTTAAGCAAACTGGACATGACACAGCTATTAACAGTGGAAAGACAAAAGATAGGAGTTGCACTTAAATCAAAATTATAATAGGCAAAAGTGTCGTTCATCATCAAATTCTTTATGCTTTAAGACTTGTTCCAGTTGTAAAGACAAAACCTACATTTTTCCCCAACAAGATGACTTGTATCCTCAACAGGCTGTTCACCATCAATTTCAATGACTGAGCATGAGTTGACGTGATCCTTAAGAAGCTGCAGAGGAACATCTACTCCACACTTCTGGCACATGACCTTTGCCATGCCCTTGAATGCTTCATCAGTTAGTTCCAGTGGACTTGTATCAAGGTCCTCCTGAAGTGGGACTATGAACAGTTTTTTACCCCCTTGTGCAGCAGATTTCAACAATCTGCCTGTATACCCAGCATCATCGGGTGACACAAGGGCGAGCTTACGGCTACCCCATCCACCTGTAGAAACACACAATACTTTTATACTTATATTGCATACATTTTAGATTATTATATATGAAGTAGATAGTGTATATACTTAATGACTGGGCAGTATACTTTTAGTAACATTCAGACCTTGTCAAGCAATTCAATTAAACTTGTACCTGTGGATTTATAAAGTAGCCATCCACCAGACAGTGTGCGCAACTTTGGATATAAAGCTTTGAGGGCATCACATAGCTGTAAACAGAAAGAGCAAGTACATTAATTAATCAATATTTAATATTCAAAATTCATCATTCAGAACAAAAATAAGAAGTGAGTGCACATGAGTCTTTTCATAGTTAACCTCCTCATGGGTGATGCTCTCATCTAGATGAGCAGTCCTGGGGCCCAATCCTGCTTGCATATGTGTGACTTTTTCAAGTTCACTGGGTGTCCTGTCACAATGTTTTGGAAGGAGGTAAAAAGACACTTCCAGCGGCTTGCACTTTTTGGCCGGAATAAGTACTGGGGCAGGAAATCGTCGTTTCCCTTTTCCTTTTGTAAAAAGGCCTGGAAAAGTTCTACAAAAAACAGAACGCAAGAACATTCAATAAACAATTAATAGAGAAAGAAAAAGAAAAAAAGAAACAAAACATACATTTAGTTAAGACCAAAATAAATTAAAAGATTATAAAAGCCTTGTAAACACCTGCGGTCTTATGACATTAATCATTAGTAATTAATGGGTTCTATAAAACCTTTCACAGAATCTGCAAATTTTTTTTTTTTGTTGTTGTTGAAAATGTCAAAAGTTTTCTTGACAAACCCGCATATGTGGGAGCAGTATTTCTAGACCTCAAGAAGGCTTTTGACACTGTAAATCACCAGATTCTTTTATCTAAATTATCCTATTTTAGTTTGTCTAAAGAGGCGCTGTGCTGGTTTGAATCTTATTTGTCCCACAGACAACAAAGTGTTTCCCTCTCTGGTTTTAAATCGTCCTACCTTCACTGTCCAACAGGGTCCTCCAAAGGTAGCATTTTAGGACCTATTTTATTTAGTTTATATAGTGGAGCTGTTAAGGACCAAAATAGTGCCCAATTGTTCACTTTTAAGGTACAAGCATGAAACTTTGCCAGATTATTAACATCCCTAGGACCAACGTTTCTGGATATGGAACCAAGCCCAAGTCGACCCTGGAGCTGAGTACTGCTTAAACTGCCTTTTTTTTTTGGAAAATAATGTTAAAATATCACATAGGTTATAAAGAAGAATATGTATTCTCAAGATACTAGCTACTGCAAAGTGGTTTTCAATGCTGTTTATTAAGACTAAATCACAAAAAATATTTGCTACTCAACTAATGGAACTAATGGTGTGCATTGTGTAACTTTTCTGGTCACCATGGAAATGTTATTGCTTCATCTGGAATGTTTCACAGTATGGTATTAAACATTTCTATCTTCATGGAGACCAAATCAGACCAAGTTACAGGTCAGATCTGTAGAGAGGCGACCCCGCTCAAAGTCAGACTGTCTGTTTTTCTAGATATTTTTGAGCTATAAAACCACTTGTACTTGAATAAATGTAAAGTAGAGCTGTTTAAAGTGATACTGTGGAACATTCCAGGCAGAGCAGTGACATCTCCATAGAAACAAGCAGGTGGTGGAACCCCAATAAAAAGGTTACACAGTGTATCTTTAATATTATTATTTACTGTTTCTAGTGCTTTTTTTTTTGTTTGTTTGTTTGTTTTTTGTGTGGTAATTTTAGAGCAAACTAGGTAAAATTGCAAAATAATCTGGCCAAAAATGTGTAAAAATTAGTGTGTGTGAACTCCAGTGGCCGCTGTGGTATCAAGTACTATGTGACATCACGCAGGACTGCCCTGATTACAGCCAGTTGTTTCTGTTTACAAATCCCTGCCTATAGGGGGGAGCTTGTAGTGTGGATACTTGTTAGACCATCGCACTGTTATTCATACCCCCTAACCCCGCCCCTCTCTCCTTTCACTCTCTTCCTGAGTCCTCCGGGTACCACTCAGCTTATCAGTTGTATCCGAAATGTGTTTGCGGGCAGAGTTTAGGTGTTTAGTCATGTAAAAGTTCATGAACATAGTTTTGTGTAGGTTTGATTTTCTATCTTAATTTCTCTCTCCTCCTTTTTCTTTAGCCTGTATATTCAATGGTTAAATCAGCTCTTCTGTCTTCCATTTAGTTTCCTTTTTCAAATAGTGAAAACACTACTGAAAATCTGTGTAAAAGTACAGTTACATAACAAAACATCTACTCAGAGACAAGTACTACTGCGAAACTTGTACTTGAGTAAAAGTATAAAGTCCGCATATAAAAACTACTAACTACACAAGGATTTTATATAAGGCTTTGTATATAAACCTGAAGCTGACTTAAGTTTCTTTAATTCAGTCTTGTTATGGACGTTATGCCTGCTTGTTGCCATGGAGATTTCATTGCTTTGCTTGAAATATTCAGCAGTATAGCATTAAACATATTTATATAACCTTCATTTTATTTTGGGTGTTTTTATTGCTCAAAAATACCTTGAAAAAAACATGAATTCTTTGTGATTCACACTTTGTACATTTGCATTTTTGATTGGAAAAGGTTTGTTTTTTTGTCTAAAATCTGTATTGTTTTATGTAAAAATAAAGTCTTGGAAGATCCATGGTATAAATGTAAACAGTGAAGTACATCAAAATACACCAACACTCCTTTTATACTTTTATACTGTAATATGTGAAGTGCTGTTGAAGATCAAATAGGACATTTACACCTGTCACAGTGTGTATGTCTGTGTGTAGTCTGTACAGTACTGCTCACGCCCCAGATCCTTCTCCCTGTTTGACACGTGTGAAATCTTTTGCTGTTAGATTTTTGATGACAAGTTGAATTTACTGATCTTGTCTGAGCTGTTTCAAGTGTTCTGTGAAAGAACCTGAGAACTGTATGAACTGAGGAGAAATGTTCCATATTATATGACCACCTGTGCCCCTGTTCAAATACACGTTTGTATGGTTATTTTGGGGGTCCTGGATTGTAAAGTTTGGAAACCTGTTGCATAAGCAGGCGAAAATTGACAGAGCAATATTGATACACAAAATTATTACTTTTTGTAACCTTATAAATGTTAAGTTCCCCTTCATAGAGTCTTACAGTGTCAGAGTTAAGAAGTGCGTGTGAGTCCTGCGTCACCTGGATACTGACGACAGGTGTGGTGAGATATAAAATTCCTCTTCCTGTTCACCACATCAGTTTGGACGGTGCTGCCTCAGAGGAACAACATGAGCCAGGTAATATTATTTAACAATTTTGTGTACTTAAACTTTACTATGTTTTTCTTTAACACATTTATATTTTTTGTATATTTTAAATTTGGTTACCTATCGAGATTTTTTGGTTAAAAACTTTTATATTTGTTAAAGATATATTGTGTACAATTTATTAAAATAGTAAAAACTATAATATGAATTTCCCAATCTTGCATTTAAACATTCCATTATTTTTATGTATTTATTTATGTTTATTAGGGACATCACAATCACATTAGACAAGCCAGATGTGTTGCTTTGAGTGTTTTAGCACAAGTGCAAGTTTTCAACACTTGTCCATATAAAAATATAAACTACACGCATAAAAACAAAGAATACAAGACACATAAGTTACATACAGATAAAATATATACAGTACATTTTCAATGGAGACATATTGGATTGGAAATATACAATAATTTAAAATTTCCTTTTAAATTTGATGTCATTGGTTTCCTATTTTAAATTAGCAGGTAAATTATAGGTTAATTTAATGCAAAACATGACTCTGTATACAATGGTTTCTGTCACATTATTTAACAATGATCCTGACTCAGCTGGTAAACTTCAGTCTGAGACGAGTCCTGTCCGACAACAGTATAAACTGTTATGACAACGATGACCAATGCACGACAGAAGACACACAATGAATATGTATTTAATATTTTTGCATGTATATATATGTAACAAAAAGGAAAAGAAATGATTGTTTTGTAGAGTTATTATGTGTCATAACCCTCTAAACCAGGGGTGTCAAACTCATTTTGGTCCGGGGGCCGTATCCAACCTACTTTGATCCCAAAGGGGCCGGATCAGAAAACTCATGTCATTTAAACCCCAAAAATAACAATAAGTTCAAATATTTGTGCAGAGAAACACGAATCTTTTACAGAATTATTTTTTTTTAATTGATGAACTCTTTCTTATTATAATATTATAATATTATGAACAACCTGAAACTTGAAGAAAAATTCAATTTCAGCCCAATGTTTTAACATGAACTTGTCTGTAAACAGGAATAAGTCAATTTTTGTTGTAAAATTCTGCACTCGGCTCCACTTTTCTCATGTTGGACATTTTTCTGATGAGGGTGTCACGGTCAACAGTCAAAACGATCGTCCTTTAAGAGCGTTTGGAAAGAGACAAGTCTTCATTTGTGCTGCTCTGGTGGGAGGGGCCACGTACAGAGACACTGGAGACGCTGCTGTGATAAACACCACAGAAAATTAACAAGATTTTAATAAAAAATATCATTAAAATATTTTAGTAGAAAATCAGCCGAGGGCCAGATTAAAGGTCTTGGAGGGCCGGATCCAGCCCCCGGGCCGTATGTTTGACACCTGTGGACTAAGTTATGACCAAAAATACACCAAACAACTGATGTAAATCAAATGTAAAGTCATTTGTCTGTTTAGCAAATAAACAATATTTTAGTTTTAAGGATATTTGATGAAGTGTGGAAATGTCAGTGTAGGTGTGTGTGTAACAGGATGAAGACACTTTGAAGTGTTAAGTAAATATTAAATGAACTAATAAAGGCTGTGGGTGCAGAGGTGGAGGGCTGCAGGTGAACTGAGCTGTGACAATTGTTATAAGACCTTTTAAAATTAAACAAACATACTGCTCAGATCCCAAGAGCAACCAGACAAACAACATGGGTGTGGCTGTCAAATTTAAGTCGGCTGTTATGATTTGTGGTGTTTTACTGGTGTATCTTAAATCAAAGTGTTTTTCTGTGCAATGAAATAGTGCAATCCAACTCTGAGGTCAATAAAAAAAGACTGAAGACTGCATCCAAGGTCACAAGGACGTCATTGGCCTTATATATTTCAAACAATTCTACACTACAATACAGATACAGATTTCTGACTTTAAAAAAAAATAAAAATAAATAATAAATACTGCACAGTTCTTTCTATTGTTATTACATTATCCTTGTCAATAAAACACATACGTATTTTCAGTCTGCTGAAGAAGATTCATCCACAGAACCATGTGATACTGTAGTATCAACAGCAGAACCAAAGGTAGGTTTAATACTATAGCATTAAATTAATCTCTCTGTTGTTGTTAATTTCAGCTTTTTGTTTATGCTTCTTCAGGTGTTCAATGATCCTATCCACGGTCAAATGGAGTTTCACCATTTTCTGGTTAAAATCATAGACACGCCTCAGTTTCAGAGGCTTCGATACCTCAAACAGCTGGGAGGGGCCTATTTTGTTTACTCAGGAGCATCTCACAACCGATTTGAACACTGTCTCGGGTACATACACAATGGATTAAAAAAAAAAAACTGCTTGAAATTGTGCAATTTAAAACTTAAAAAAAATGTATTTACATTTTATAGAGTGGCTTATTTAGCAGGACGGCTTGTGCAAAGTTTAAGAGAGAAACAACCAGAACTTGGTATTACTGACAGAGACATACTTTGTGTACAAATTGCTGGTCTCTGCCATGATCTGGGTGAGTAACATTTTCCACAAAGGAAGAAATAAAAAACAAACATTTTATGAAATAGGAATTCTCTTACTTAATCAAATGTGTACCAGGTATATGCAATTGATTAATTGTTTCAGAAAATGTATTAAATGATTTAATATAGCCTGTATAATCTGCAGTTATGTGAGTTTGTGGATGTTTTTGTTTTTTTTTGTTTTAAAGGACATGGACCTTTTTCCCACATGTTTGATGACATGTTCATACCAAAAGCTTTAAAAATGAATCTAATGAATCTTTGGATGAAATGAAAGTAAGGAACAGATTTGATAATGTAAATGTAATATTACTTTGAAGTAATAATCAGTAATACTTCCACAGAAGCATGAGCAAAGATCAGTTATGATGTTTGATCACATTGTGAAATATCTACACGACACATATCGTTTTGACCTGAAATCCGAGTTGAACAAGCTGGATCCGAACACTGATGGTGATGACCTGGAATTTATCAAAGAGATGATTAACGGGCCAGAAGAAAATGTAAACTATTACATGATCTGTATTATTGTGCCTGCTTCCGACTGACAAAGTGTTTAAATCAAACAGGGACATTACAAAGGACGCCCGTCAAACAAATCTTTCCTCTATGAGATAGTCGCAAACAAAAGGAATGGCCTCGATGTGGACAAGTTTGACTATTTTGCCAGGTTTGGTCTAGTTCACAACACTTCACATTAATGTCCGTTATTACTTAACATCTGATTCTACTTGGACAGAGATTTCCATCACCTTGGAATTAAGAACAGCTTTGACCACAATCGCTACATTACATTTGCCAGAGTCCTTGAGGTGGACGGTCAATGGCAGATCTGCACAAGAGACAAGGTTTGAGATGTTATTTTAATACAGATTCATTATAATTCATGTTGTGAACACCCTGAATATGCTCTAATATTTTGTGTTTGGCCATTTTAAGGAGGTCCCCAATATTTATGAAATGTTCCATATGAGGAGTTCTCTCCACAGAAAGGCCTACCAGCACAAAACCAATAAGGTCACTGAGCTCATGTAAGTATATATAATGTTAAGATTGTTTTTTATATATGTTGAGACATAATCTGGTCATAATATAAACCCCAGGATCAGAGATGCCTTACTTAAAGCAGATAAAACATACAAGATTTCTGAAGCTATAGGCGACATGGAGAAGTACACTGAGCTCACAGGTTTGTCTTGCATTTTACCTCTGCATTCAAATTTTCATTTACCTTAAACTGACGGTCGTGTGTGTACACGGTCTGTGTTTCAGATGGCATCTTTGAAAAAATACTTTACTCCACTGAAGAAGAGCTCAAGGATGCACGAGAAATACTACAAAATATTCATTCTCGGAAACTGCACAGATGTCTAGGAGAGACTAAACTGACAGATGAGCTTGCCACAAAGGTGTGCTATTGTGTTAAATCACTCCAATGTAATACACCAAGCTGTATTATCAGTTTTTGTTTATTTTTCAGAAAAAAGATGACTTTGAAATAATTGTAAATAATTTCTATAGTTTTTTTCTCTGCAATAATTGCACTGTAAGACCAGGGGTCTCCAACCTTTTTCTCCAGTGAGCTTCCTTTATAAAATAATAATGCCAGAGAGCTGACAATTTCAGCAGTCGTAAAGAAACTGAGTAAATATAAGAGCCACGATGAGCCTTAGATGGGAACAGTTAGATGCTTATAAAACATTATCCATTTATCAGTGCACCAAGTTATCAAAATGATACATTTACAATGGTAATTAATCATTTAACTTACTGTGCACAATACATATAATTCAGAAATCCCTTGGTGAGCTACTTGGAAGGGGGTGGAGAGCCACTGGTAGCTCCCGAGCCTCCACACCAAGCTGAGTTTACTTACTTTTTACTTATTTTTCTGCATGGACAAAAAGAAAAAAAAATGGAAATCTGAACTGGCAGCAATGCCCACTTATAAAGACGAAGAACGACTGAGCGAAAGTCATTTTGAAATCATTGTAAGTAAACAAAGTATTTTAAATGTTAAATTATTATTACAAATAAATAAATAAAAACACACTGTATTATTATTAAGAATATTATATTGTATATCAGGTCACTACCTTTGACTTTGGAAAAAAAGAAAAAAACCCTATGGATAACCTGAATGTCTATAACAAGTTTGACAATAAGAAAGGATTCAAGGTCCCCCGTGAGCAGGTCAGTACAACAGATGTTTACTATTTAATTTCTGTACTGTAATTGTGCTCATGTTTATATAAAATACTTTTGTTAGGTTTCTCAGTTTCTCTTGCCACATAAGTTTTCTGAGAAATGGATCAGTGTCTATTGTACGAGCTTGGATGAAAACACTCAGAGAGTCGCTCAGAGGAATTTTTACGAGTGGTGCCAAAGGAATAACTTGAACCTTTCTCCGGTAATGTTTTATTTTTATTGTATTGTTTATTTGAATAGGAACAGACAACAACAATAGAACAAACATAGATTAATCACAGTGTATCACAGTGTTTAAAACCCAGGCTAATTTGCAACCAGTTTGAGCTTAGTTCAACTAATTTACAAACTATTGTGATAATAATATTCTTTAAAATGTTTCTCTTTCTACACACCCTAATGAACAAAGAGGCCACCTCAGCTGCAGAAAGATGATCCACAACCAAAGGTATTTTACACACAGTTGACACTTGTCACAATATTTACAGCCAGACACATGCTATTCATACTACTACTACTACTACTACTACTACTACTACTACTACTACTACTACTACTCACATTATTTAACAATGGTCCTGACTCAGCCGGTAAACTTAAGTCTGAGAGACGAGTCCTGCCCGACAACAGTATAAACCAGGGGTGGGCAAACTACGGCCCGGGGGCCGTATGCGGCCCTTTAAACCTTTTAATCCGGCCCGCCGAACTGGAATAAATTACAATAATAAACCTTGTTGATGTTTTATTTGTCATGCATTTCCAGCGTTTCCCAGTAGATGGCGCACTATATATACATTGAGTTTCGGCGTATTATGTTGGCTGCAATGCTTTATGGGAAAGTGTTCTTACAGGAGTTATTCGGACCATGAGTGAAGTAGTTGGTGCTTAAGATATAAGACTGCACTGCTTACAGTTTGAGTTAGTGAAAATCAACCGAAGACACCTAAGAAGTCCAAGTTGTGAGTGTTGGTATGTACATCATTTTGGAGACAGGTTTTTCACACTCACAGGTATGCATCTGTGTTTGTGACATGAGCATGTTTATTAAGCTGTTGCCGGTCTCATTTGAAATTTGTGAACTCATGATACATATTCACTCCTGGTGTCCAGTGGAACGGGGCTCAATTGATTTATGTTCTGAATCTTTCAGAAACGTGTAGCGCGCGTCTGAAGTCCTGGATAAATGTGAATAAGAATGTAATGAATCTGAGCTCTTAACACGTTATGTCCTGTCTTCTGTCCGGCCCTTCAATCAAACTTTAGGACCCTATGTGGCCCGTGAGCCAGAAACTTTGCCCACCCCTGGTATAAAACTGTTACGACAACGATGACCAATGCACGACAGAAGACACACAATGAATATGTATTTATTATTTTTGCATGTATATATTATGTAACAAAAAGGAAAAGAAATGATTGTTTTGTAGAGTTATTATGTGTCATAACCCTCTAAGCTATGACCAAAAATACACCAAACAACAGATGTAAATCATATGTAAAGTCATTTAAATGTCTGTTTAGCAAATAAACAATACTTTAGTTTTAAGGATATTTGATGAAGTGTGAAAATGTCAGTGTAGGTGAAGAAATTACAATGTATTTGCAGAAGAATTTTTACGAGTGGTGCCAAAGGAATAACTTGAACCTTTCTCCGGTAATGTTTTATTTTTATTGTATTGTTTATTTGAATAGGAACAGACAACAACAATAGAACAAACATAGATTAATCACAGTGTATCACAGTGTTTAAAACCCAGGCTAATTTGCAACCAGTTTGAGTTTAGTTCAACTAATTTCCAAACAATTGTGATGATAATATTCTTTAAAATGTTTCTCTTTCTACACACCCTAATGAACAAAGAGGCCACCTCAGCTGCAGGAAGTCAAGCCACAACCAAAGGTATTTTACACACAGTTGACACTTGTCACAATATTTACAGCCAGACACATGCTATTCATACTACTACTACTACTACTACTACTACTACTACTATTACTACTACTACTACTACTACTACTACTACTGTCATCATTGTGAGTGAAAACAAACTATATTGTTCTTAACCAGGTGTTCAATGATCCTATCCATGGACATATGGAGTTTCATCCTATTCTGGTTAAAATCATAGACACACCTCAGTTCCAGAGACTTCGATACATCAAACAGCTGGGAGGGAGCCTATTTCGTTTACCCAGGAGCATCTCACAGCAGATTTGAACACTCACTTGGGTATGTCTGATCAAATCCATGGTACTGGGTCAGATTTTTATGTTATATATTTTCACAGAGTGGCACACTTAGCCGGGCTGTTTTTGAAAGCTTTACAAAAGGATCAACCAGAAATTATTGATGACAAGGACATACTTTGTGTGCAAATTGCTGGTCTTTGCCATAACCTTGGTGAGAAAGCCAAATCTATTACTCTGTTCAGTACTTACACAATGATGTCACATTTAGCTGGTATTTTCTATATTTACAGGACACGGACCTTTTTCAGATGTGTTTGACAGAATCTTCTTTAAAAAACACAACCCAGACCTTGATTGGAAGGTAAGTCAGAAACAGTAACTTTGGTGTGTTTCTCAGATCAGAATTTATATTAATGATTTTGATAATTGATATTTCACAAACTAATATACAGCAATACAAAATGTACTTTACTGTAAAAGCAACAAACCAATCAATATTGAGTAGGCTATTAGCTAAATACCCTGTCATCCCTGATGCCATTCTCCATGTGGAAACACAAACAGATAAATTCTTCATAACCCAGTTAACAAACCTGAGTGTAAAAATGATATATTTTCATATTTGCCCACAGAATAAATTATCTTAATGTTCTAAACAAAGCATAACAAACAATGATGGTGCCTGACTAAATACACTCAGTATAGACACTATCATGTAGGATTACAAAGGCATCTCATCCAATGGAGAAAAAGAACTGTGAATTACTCAAATTAATAACTGTTGAACAAAAATTCAGTTACAGAGGAGCGAACTGTCTGCTGAACTTTTCGAAGAAATCGCAGGAACTGTGCTTCAGACGGATCTGTCAGATGATGACAAGA